CGGAATGCAAAACTTGTCACCACGAGGAATCGAACTAGGGACCCCTTTTCTGGTATTCAGAGGGCCGTTCAGGAAAAATGAACCATGCTTCTGTGGTCCCCATATGTGCCCCAATGTCATGCAAGAAACCATTTTGAAAAAGCTTGGCACACCCTGAACGACCTCCCTTGTTAGTTTGAGCGTACAAGTCAACTATCCTCTCAACGATGTCCTACAACTAGGCAATTCAGTCCAGCTATTCAATTAAGACACGTTTCATTTCAGATGCACGGCAAATGTTTGCCAACATGATGGTACCCTTGCCGTTGGAAAAAAAGAAATCGAGTGTATCTGTGAGGTACGATTGATTTTCACTCCGGAGCCTTCTTAGGAATTTCATTTTCGTTTTCTTTTCTGCTCAAAAAAATCCGAAAAGATTCGTAGCGCTATCGCGAGATACGGGGGCATTGTGGTGGCAGGGCACTGAAATCGCATAAACTATCTCGTTTTGGTTAAAACGAAACCCCTTAGGCGGGAGTGGAGAGGCTGTAGGGTGCGTGGACACTTTACATTTTTTCCAAAGTTCCTGCCCCTTTTTAGGCAGTCATAGAGCATGCCCCCGTACCTTGCGATAGCACCGCATTTGTTTTTTTTTCTCTGGTTTCTCTCATAATTTCTTCTCGTGGCCTATGCAGTTGCGGATTGTGTCAAATGGCGGGTCACCCCAAAGGGGGATGTGGTGGAAAAATGGATTTGCGAAATTTCTTGAAAAGCGCTAGGTACTTAGAAAGGAGTCCGCAGGTTGTATTACGAACTTCAATTTTTTAGTGGGTAGAGCTATACTCTGCGCCGGGTTAGTAAGTAATAGTTACTAACATATGGCATTTTTTAAATGATTTATTCTTTATTACCCCTTTGGCGACAATGGCACCCAATGGTGGGTGCCACCTTAATATTTCCTTATTTGCGCATTTGAAATATTTTTGACATTCTGGTAATTATTAGCAACCTTCATGATATCTATGTGTAGCATGCTCAATAGAAGTGTGTTATAGGAACTAATTTACACGAAATTTCAGTGTGAGGCATTTAGTTCGGCGGCTTTTTAACTGAGGTTTTGCATTACTAGACTGAAGATAGAACACTGATCGGGACTTCTCCGTCTTTTCATAGTCTTCAGGTACAAGGAGGGTTTGAATTGTATCAAAAATTCTATTGTAAATATGAACTTCTCGAGTTTTTACCCTCCATTCCTTTGAAGTCCGAGTCCCCCTTCCAAACAATCAGTTCGCTTCCCAACAATTTATAATATGAAAGCTCAAATCTGTATTATATTTTGTATACTGCTAAAGTCAAAAATCAGATAGAAAAACTGCCTTTAGGGTCAATTCTGCCCGATGTTGGCCGAGGTTTGAGCGCACCAACGAGGCGTGGTCCCATGAGCCCGCTACGTGCAAATCCACATTGCCGCCAAAAGGTTAAGCTCGTTCATCAGTAGCTAGGGTGCATAAGCGATGATGAAGCCGGTGGCCTTACATTCTTTACGCCAGACGCTATACACCTGCAGATGGGTTCTTTTATTAAAAGACCTTGTGTGGTACCTGGTGAGGACGCAAAGTCGACTATGAGCAACACGACCTTTTTCATTCTCACAACTGAATCCGTGATTTAGCGCTTACTAGGATCCACATAGAAATGCCGCTAAGAAGTCCTAATAGTCGCAAACCCTAATGAACCCTGTGAGCATAGGTGACTCAAGGGTAGAACTGAACACCTCTCGCTCGGCTCCAATGCAGTTAAACTGGACTTGATCCATCTCTATCGATAAAGATGAAGGTAAAAAATATAAGCAATAAATGGGTTCATGATCGCCTTCCTCAATCTTAGCCTCGAATTTGAAGCTTATGATTTGCTGGACCTTATTAGAAATTGTAGCACTTGAGTAGGCTAACTCACCCTCCACTTCGTCTTGGTCGGAGTTAGAAAATCGAAGTAGTTTGATAGAAATTTCCTCACAGGTCTGAGAAATTTCGAAGTCAGTCAACTCATAACACTTTCCACTTACAGTACCTGTTAAACACTGGAGGATTACCACGGTGGTGAACTATATCATTGTCATTTCACAGCAAAATCCACCTCATACAAACATTAGGATTCATTAGTTTTTTGCTGTTTCAAACTATGTATAAATAGCGGCTAGTGCGCTTCCCGTTTGATCTCGGCATTGCAATCTCCAGATCAATTTTTGTTAGTACTAGCGTTTTGCCGGAGTTTTTGCGCAATTCGCTTTGGCTGTAGGCTTTTTGAAATTCTTGTTCAGTGATTCAATTTCGTACAAAATTCCACAATCTTTCGCCCATATTTCCTCCTATTAACTTTGTATAATTATTCCAATATAGGGCTTATATGCACTTGACTCACAGGACAGCTTTTTCCAGAAGATTCTTCTAGCTATCGGCTAATTTCCTGTGGGCTACCAGCTACTGCTGGTAGCCCACAGTGAATTAGCCAATAGCTTACCGTGGCTCAAATTTTCAGTACCGTATCCATACTCAGCAAAGAGCCGTTGTGCCTTCAACTGTACCTTCTTCCAATATTGATGATGCGATCACTAACGTTCTTTTGAACTGAACTCTTTCTAATGCAACATCACTCTTCGTTTTTTAACTGTCGTGCAAGCAAATATTCAAATGCTACTCATCGAACTGCTTTTGGTGTTGCGGGCTCTTCGATGCCATCAAAATTATCCAGAAATTTTAACAAAAATAAGAAAAGCCATAGACTGAAAAAATTTGTGGTAGTTTCCGATCAACCATTCATTGTTGTGTAGCTTGTTATGGATTTTTCCCTTACAAGGAGTTTAATTTTGGGTTGAGGAAATTCAAATATCCCAAATACAAATACACCTCCCATAACTTTGAAAAAAAAGCGCCGTGGAAGACGAGGACCAGCCTCTTTTTTCGACTTATTGTCATAACTTTATTACTGTTTACTTTTTTCCGCGGAAAACTATACCATCAAAATCAGCTCGTCGAGTTCTATAAGATGGTGTCCGCGTCCTCCTTAACAAAGTTATGGGAGGTACTGTAAGCCAAGTTCCACACAGAATTGCTCCTTTCATATGTATTTACTGACAATTTTTCGAATTTATTTATCTCTTAATCTTATCAGTAGACAAGTAACCCAAAAAAAATTTTTAAAAAATATCTGAAAATAAATGAACAAAACTTCTATTCAGGTGCCATGGGACGGTCGCTATTGCGATCGATTGGCCTGCTGGAGGAAGACGAAGTTTGGTCAGTCCTTACAGTTTTCAAGTTCTTGACAGCCAATTTTGCTTTTCGCGTTTCATTGCTGAAAATTTTTATTCATAAAATTCCAACAGCAGGGCTGAAGAGGTTTTTCGGAGGATGAACTTCTTCTGTAGGGATATTCTCGCTTTGTTTCAAGGCCAAGACAAGCGATTCCGTAATCAAGTAGACCACTGTGTGTGCACAGCGTATTTCGAAGGTGACAACTGTGATAAGATCATCGGCTGCATGAACGGTGGAGAATTGCAAGACCACAGGTGATTAGCCTTACTGCTGCTCTCCGTACACCTCTTTCCAGTGTGGCACATATGAAAAATCGAAAATGTGGTCGACTAATTCGAAAAAATTCAAGAGGAAATGTCAATTCCGTCAATCTTGAATTTGCTTTTCATGGCCCCGTTTTCGATTGGGAAACGATCTGTTGGTAGCTTGTGGGTGGGAAAAAGTGACATACCCGTCCCCTTCAAAAAGCCAGAAATTGTGCGGTGCAGACCAAACACCACAACTGACGACGGCCTCCAAGTAAATCTGGTTAGTAGTGGTTCATAGTGATAGCTGATTTTTAGTAAATGATAGTTGTAATTACTGTCAACTGATCGAATACAACTGTAACAGGTTAATCATTTCATTGGCAAAAAATTCCTGCATTTTCTTCTAAAGCCGCGTCTTGTGGTGCATGGTCTGCACCCGTCACTTCCTGGCTTTTTGAAGGGAAGGTTACGTAGGCTGCTAATCATTTGAACCAGTTTGCTAGGTTTTTGAACCGGTTTAGGATGGGATCGCAACAGCATTTGTATATTTTCAATGGGTGAAGGCTTAAAGTTGATTATTATTGGCAGTATTTCAAATGCTTCGTTAGAAGGTTTCCAAGAGCTTTTCTATTTTTGTAAGCAACTTCATACCCTTTACAATAAGTAAACATGTGGTAAACTTAGCATTTGATCTCCATTGTTCATTTGAATCTCAATTAATTGAATTCATAAAATTGGAAAAGCGTTTCTTCATTTTAGGAAAGCACCTTTGGCCATTAAATTTTGGAAAATTTCCCCCAGTTGTATCACTGGTAATTTTACTGATTGTGTAAATTCACCTTAAAATTTTTAAGGCCGATGTCAGACTTTGCGAATCGCGCGATTCGCTAGCGTCTGCGGTCGCGTCGCGGCCAGTGAATCACTCAATTGGCTGGTACCGCAACGCGACCGCGGACGCTAGCGAATCGCGCGATTCGCAAAGTCTGACATCGGCCTAAGAATTTTAGAGTATGGCATCGTTAATGTCGATAGCTATACGCTCCCCATAACCTCTTTCTATCGTGTCAGATAACACTATCATAGCCCCCACACCCTTCTGACCCCCTCATTTGCTGAAACTTATTTTGTTATGGGGTAGTTGGATGAAATAGCTTCGCCTGTGGTCGGGGGTCGGGAAATATTTTTTTCGAGGCTGGATAGTAACTTGTTGGAAGCGGAAACTTGGTGACGCATGGTTACTTCAGACGTTTATTTCAGAAAAGCGCTATAAAACCGAATTTTTAATCACCAGTACTACATTACTATTACCAAACCAATATCCCATTTAGGAGGGAAAGACTCAAGGCTTCTCGAGCTACGCAGTATTTTTCTAAGTCCCATTCTTTTCTGGTTTAAAATAGCAAAAAAAAAGCTGACGTAATTTTTGGAGACCTGATTCGGATTCAATTGAAAAATCAGTTTCAGAGTATTTTATAGGGCACTTAATACTTTAATCTTCTTAATTACAGAAACGTTTGTCTTTTTCAAGAACAAAAAAGAAAGAAATGGAAAAGTCACGCAGTTACGTTGTTTTTCTGTGCCCCACTTCAGATCATTATGGGGGGTGGGGGGGGGTGGGCTGGAGGTCATACTCCAAAGTCGACCGGTTTTTAACCGGCTACATAACCGGGACGGAACAAATTTAGTAGATGCGGTTCGAAGAACATCAAACATCTGCACTTCCTTCATGCCATATTTTCGTCCCTTAGCATAGAAACTTTTTCAGTGAGGTTCCCTAAGGCCTTAAGTTACCTCAGCAGTTAAGGCTGTTGCGAAACAACAACTGGCACAAGCCGCTGGATTCAATCAGTGTGAAATTTCGCGCCTGAAGATATTTCTCAAGGGTATTGGATGGGGAAAAACCCGCTGCTCTGCAGATCTTTTGGGCGCTTTGTTTTCATTGCTGTCACATGCGCTTCTTGAACTGTGTTGATCTTTTTCACCGCACTGATCGCCTGCTGTAATGTCGCTGTCGTCCTCGTTGACGGCCGCGGTGACGGCGCGGTCCATCCATGCGCCCTGCGGGACGGACCTGTCAAGTCATCTCAAATGCATGCACAACAGTGGCAAACGTTTCTAAACATTACTGCAGGCACAATGAAGTGGACCTTTCTGCCGTGCTTTCTGGTAGTCTTCGAAAAGTAATGGAGAATTAGTGGTGAGGGTGAAGCGTGCTACAGATCGCTCGAAAGACTCCTGGTAACCGTTGCTCTCGTATAATACGCGATCCGACAGCTGGCTAACGACATCCTCCTCCTTTTTCTCTTAACAAAGAAGGCATTTTCATGACATAACGCTTTCGCCAATGTTTTTTCATATTGTAGGGGCCTCAATTTAAAAAGAAACCATTAATGGTCCCTTTTCCCTGAACGGCCATAACAGGAGTCAAGAAAAAAGTTGTGAAAAATAGTCCAGAGTTCGATCCTCGTGATTGGCCAATTTTGCAATATTTCGCGCACGCCAGATTGCCGCCACATGCGCTATTGTCGAGCTATCAGACTTCATGTCGGTTGCTGGGGCAGATATTGGAGGCGCCTACATAGTTTGCAAAATCTTCGTCACTGGGACCGGGACACTTTGACCAAGCGTTCTTTCCCCGCTCTCTTGCCCATACCTAGTGCCTTCAGGAAAAGACCATGGTTCTGTTCTACTTCACATGAGCTCACAAAAAAAGTGAGATAACCATTCTGAAAAAACGCTTCATGTCCTGAAAGACCTCCTTTGTTAGTTTACCTTAAACTGTACCTTCCTGTTTATCATAAAACGATAGTAAGAGGAATCTGTGCACTATTGAAGAAGGTCCAACATTAAGGACATCCAATTGCACCACTCTTGATTGTACTTTCGAGGTGTCCGTTGAATGCTTTGAATTAGGCACTGCTGTCATTTTTGCAGAAAATGAGCTCATCACCTGTACCCCCCGCGCCATTCCCACCTCTGCCAACCCTTACTGCTGCCGCTGTCGTTAAGAAATTAAGGCCAAAGCTGAGCTCCTAGAAGCCCATTCCTTTTTTTCGGTAGTTTTTCCAACCAATCGTGTATGTGCTCTGCTGATAGAGGGAAACTGTCTTTGTTTGTGCCCCGAGTAAAATGAGTAATTCTGTCTGTTAAGGTGTATCTGCAAAGAAGGCTATGGTGGAGAGGTGTGTGAGAAAAGATGCCAAAAAGGACAAGTCACGTAAGTTATTTAATTTCCTCAGTAACTTCGAAAATGTTTCTTTCATATTTTGCTGGAGACTTCCAAGGTATTTATGAATAGTTACATCAAAGATATATTGTTATGTTACTCCCTGATACTCCATGTTTACTCATTCGCCTAAGACCTCCGATGTAATCGACATGAAAATTGCCGGGCTTCAGCCCCTGTTTGACCCTACCCACATCTGCAGCGATGTGGTACATTTAGATGAATCAATTCCAGAACCTTTTCCTGAACTACGCCCTTATCTCGCACAGGCAATCATCCTGAGGCATGGGCAGGAAGCTTTTGCTTAGAGTTGGGAGAATGACCGGAATGGAGGGCGGATGGAAGGAGCATTAGAGTGTGGATCGCTAACCACAAAAAAAAAAGTTGGTTATTGAACTTGGGGTATCTGACCGACGTCCAATGAATAAATAACTTTCAGTGCTATGAATTTTATCCCTAACCGCATAGACATCTCTTTGGCGTTAGGGGTCACGGAGCACAGTGGACTCTGTCCCCCCCTCTTTCCCCATTTTCACACTGGCAGTCCAGCATTGAGCCCGAACATTTTTTTTTGCACGCATGGATGTCTTTTATCCATGCTTGTTTTTTCTCTCAGATGTTTCCATGCATAACTTCACGAGCGATGCCCGCCCGCAAATTCATTTCGGAGCGTCGTTATTCGATGGAAATGTCGGCGAAAATGACAAGTCAGGACATTCAAGTGCTAATTGCGCTACAATCCGGGGGACTAAGCGGGGATTGGCCTCGCAAATTCGCTTTTTTTCAGGTTTTTTGTCGTACACTCACTCAGCCTCTGTTTGGGCGCGGTCGGCCTGAAAGCTTTGTTGATTAGTAAAAGAACTTTGTTAGTAGTTCGCGTCGCTTCATCGATTACTACTTGTAGGGCGCTTAACGGGGACGCCATCCAGTAAATATTTGTTTTGTTCAGGCCATCCGTGCGTATTTCTCACGGCTAACTATAGTCGGCACAGGCTCAAGAGGCATTTTTGCAGTATGCAACCCGAATTTCAGAAAGGGTGTAGGGACAAAATTAGTTCTGAGCAGAGGGTTCCTTCGTGGAAAGACAAATTGTCTGCTCTGGACCCATGACCCTAGCATTCCCGACATATGTACAGCATCTGATTGATTAATATTAGTTCGCTGATAGGTAGTTGGTTCGCTTTGTGAAAGCTCAGTTCCGCGGATACAAGTTAGAGGCATGGCATCGGGCTCTAAATTGAATCTGTCTCTCGTGATTGGTCTTCAGTAAGTGAGAAGTATGAGAAAGTACGAGGAACCAATGCACCGCGTTGCGCTGTGATCGCATGGGCGGGGTTTGCGCTTCGCCCCCACCAGGCGGTTCATTGATTAGCCCTTGCTTGTGATTTGAGGACTTAATTTTCTTGGTTTTTTCCTCATTACGGTGTACCAACCAACACAAGTGCATCCATTTTTGGATACGGCAATACACACCTATTCAATCACGATTTGTGTCTTGATTCTCCAAATTTGGAAACACGGCGATAGCTCAGGAAACGGTAGATTAAAATGAACAAAAGGCTAGTTAAAGTAATCGTCTTAAGAGCATCCATCGGTAAATAATCTCCACTTGTATTACGCCATGCATTTGAACCTCGCCTCTAGTCGTGGTGTCACTTGAAATTGAATCGCCCAATACAATTAATTTTGAGA